AGATACTCTATTACTGCCAGATTGCTAACTATTTCTGGCTCCTTACTCATAACTAAGTCAATTGTGGGCTGCACCCTTGGTGATAATAAGACATGCTTTTTTTAAAAGAAAAATTGCCTTGTTTGCATTCTAGAAATTTACAGCCCATACTGTTATTCCTCTCCCAGGTTAAATGCGTTAAAAGTTAAAATCTCCCATTATCATCCCATTCCTTTTCTAACAGCTTCCCTGATCTGCCTGCACATTCAGTAGAGAGCCCGTTATTCACATTAATTTGGACCGTCCCCAGTGTAGCGAAAGAAATAGTGCGGATATAACAGTTCGTTCATCCACACGAAATACAAATACTATAATACTATTTTTTTTGTTTTTTTTTTGGTCAGCAGGGTGTCTGTCACACGTGGAAACTCATCACCGTGTTTGTGGGACATTGCTGTGCGCAATTGGCTGCCGCGTTCGCCCACAAATATACAGTCAATTCACTTTACAGTATATTCTGTGAAGCGCTTTGGGACGTCCTCCCGACGTGAAAAGCGCTATATCAAATGCAAGGATTATTATTATTATTATTATTATTATTATTACTAACCAAATTCTTCTTCAGTTAACAGTTATACTATTACTATAGTACCACACTATGCCAGCTCTTTGATCTCTCTCTCTCTCTTTCTGTCTGAGTCTCTCTTATTCTACTATCTTCTCTGCCTTCTTTTTATCTATATCTCGTTGTCACTCTCTAATGGGTGAGATGCATGGATTCTCATTTTGGTTTGGATACTCTTAAGCACGGTGATGAGTTTCCACGTGTGACAGACACCCTGCTGACCAAAAAAAAACAAAGACTATCCATTTCCCTATCCGACCTTCTTGACTCTCACTCTCTCTGAAACTCTAACTTTCTATCTCTCTGATTTTGTATATTGGTGTTTCTAATTTTCCCAATTGTATTTGCAATATTCCTAGTAAAGATATATTGTATTTCAACCACAAAATATAGTCAATTCACTTTACAGTATAACCTGTGAAGCATTTGAGATGTCTCAAAGATGTGATAAAACGCTAAATCAAATGGAAGGATGATTATTAGCATTATTGTTGTTTGTCTGTTTACTTTCATTCTCTTGGTTCCTCGCCCTCTGTTACTTTCTCTCAGCTCCACAAAACTGCCATCTTGCTTAATTTCTGTCATTTTTCCTACAACTACAACAACAGAATTACATTTGTAAAGCGCCTTTCACATCGCGAGGACATCCCAAGACACTGAACAGTCAGGGATCAGGCCGTGAGCAATGGTAGGGCAGGGTTGGAATGAGGGAGAACAGAAAGGTAGGAGGGTGGCTGAAGGCATGGTCGAAAACAACAACAACAACAAAATTACATTTATAGAGCGCCTTTCACATCGGGAGGACGTCGCAAGACGCTGGACAGTCAGGGGTCAGGACCCGAACATGGGGGAGGGGTGGGGGAGGGGTGAGGGAAGGCAGAGAGGTGGGAGGCCGAACGAAGGCATGATCGAAGAGGAGGGACTTGAGATGTGTCTTGAAGGAGGCAAGGGAGGAAGCGAGGCTAAGGGATTATGGGATGGAGTTCCAAAGGGTGGGGGCAAAGAGGCTGATGGTAGAGCGGGTCGGGCGGGAGACATGGAGCAGGCCTTGCCCCTTGACACTACTTGTCCCTCCCCTTCTTTGTCTCCATACAAACTGCCTTAAAATCTCAACTTTCTCTCCGTTTACCATCTCCTTTACTCCTTTTCTTAATGTTCAACATGTTCAGTGTTGCAAAGTTGTGATTGTTTATAGGATCTAAAGAAGCATTCTTGTTAAGTGCTCATCTTAGTGCTACTCAGTGTAAAGCTATTCACATTTATAAAATTCATGTGGAGAAATAACAGGACAGATAAATACACAACAGTGCAATACAGGGCTGACAGCTATAATGAAGGCAATAACTGAATTGCCTACTTTTGGTGATTCCATCCAAATCTGAAGATTCACTTTCTCCTTGTATGTCTGCCAGGTAATAGCTGTCGTTTGTAACGTAGATCAGATTGTGTTTATTTATTATAGAAGCAGAAGATGATGATCAATGGAACAATCTCCTGCTGGGCAGTGACCAGCAGAGTTCTGCATAGATCAGCTCCAGGTTCCCTGCTGTTCACACTACTGATCATTTATATAAAAGAGAATGCTGTTATACAATCTGCCACTGCCCAGAGGACATTTCTCAAAGGGCTGTGAGAATGTAGATTGCACTAGTCAATAAACAACAACAAATAGGATGATTAGAAGGGACATAGATACAGTGCATCCAACATTAGAATGCAAATTCTGTTTGGACTACATGCACTGCGCATGTGGGCAACCCTGTGCTTGCTGGTACCCGCATGCCGGCCGGTAACTACATGCCAGCTGGTACCTGTGCCCCAGCCGTTCCGAGTCACTTCCTGTGTAAAAAGTGCTGTACAAATCATAGAATCATACAACACAGAAAGAGGACATTCGGCCTATCGTGTCTGCGCCAGCTACGAAAAGAGCAATCCAACTCAATCCCACTGGCCCGCTTTTTCTCCATAGCCCTGCAATCTTGTCCACTCCAAATACTCATCTTCTTCTCTCTTAAAAGTTGTTATTGAATCGGCTTCCACTATCCTTCCAGATAATGTATTCCAGATACGAACAACTCGCTGGGTGAAAACATTTTTCCTAACCTCCCCTCTGTTTCTTTTAACAACTAACTTAAATCGGTGTCCTCAGGTTACTGACCCACATGCCAGTGGAAGCAGTTTTTTCCGGTTCAAGCTATCAAAAATTCTCATGATCTTGAAAACCTCTATTAAATCCCCTCTTACTCTTCTCTGCTCCAGGGAGAATAATCCTAGTTTCACTATCCTCTTCTCATAACTAAGGTCCTTCATTCCTGGCACCATACTGGTAAACCTCCTTCGCACCGTTTCCAATGCCTTAACATATTTCCTAAAGTGCGGTGCCCAGAACTGAACGCAGTACTCTAACTGATGCCTAATCAGCAATTTATAAATATTCAACATAACCTCCTGACTTTTGAATTCTATGCCCCATTTATAAAACCCAGTATCCCGTATGCTTTTTTAACAGCTTTATCTACCTGTCCTGCCACCTTCAGAGATTTGCTTATGTGGACCCCCAGGCCTCACTGTTCATTTGCCCCGTTTAAGATTGTACCATCTAGCTTATCCAGCTCATCCTCATTCTTCCTACCAAAATGCAACACTTCGCATTTCTCCACATTAAACCTCATCTGCCACGTTTCTGCTCTGGTACTATCCTCCTCACCATTAACTACTTTTCCTAGCTTAGTATCGTCTGCAAATTTGGAAATTGTGCTCCCTATATCCAGGTCCAGATCATTAATATAAATCAGAAAGAGCAGTGGTCCCAATATTGACCCCTGAGGAACGCCACTCCACACCTCCCTCCAGTCAGAAAAGCAACCGTTTACTACCACTTTCTGCTTTCTGTCTCCTAGTCAGTTCTGGATCATGTTGCCACAGTCCCTTTAATACCGTGGGCTACTCTTTTGTTTATAAGTCTCTTATGTGGCACTTTGGCAAATGCCTTTTGAAAATCTAGATAAACTACGTCTATTGCATTACCTTCATCAACCCTCTCAGTCACTTCATCAAAAATTCTATTAGGTTTGTCAAACACAATCTGCCTTTAACAAATCCATGTTGACTATCCTTTATCAAATCATATTTTTCTAAGCGAAAATTTATATGGTCCCGGATTATAGTCTCCAAAAGTTTCCCTACTACTGATGTTACACTGATTGGCCTGTAGTTCTCAGGTTTATCCTTCTGCCCCTTTTTGTACAGGGGAGTAACATTTGCAACCTTCCAGTCCTCTGGCACCACTCCAGTGTCCAAGAGGATTGAAAAATTGTGGCCAGAGCCTCCGCTATTTCCACCCTTGCTTCCCTCAGTAACCTAGGATGCATCCCGTCCTGACCAGGTGACTTATCCATGTTGAGCAACGACAGCCTTTTTAGTACTTCCCCTCCGTTGATTTTTATCATATCCAATTTCTGTTCACACGCCTGCGATACTGTGGCATTGGTTGTATCATCATCTTTTGTGAAAACAGTTGCAAAGTACTTATTTAGTACATCAGCTATGCTCTCTGCCTCAACAAGAAGATTTCCACTCGGGTTTCTGATTGGACCCATCCTACTTTGACTAACCTTTTACACTTGATATGCTTATAAAATACCTTAGGGTTCCCTTTTATGTTTCCTGATAATCTTTTCTTGTACAATGTCTTCGCCTCTCTTATTTTCCTTTTCACTTCTCCTCTATACTTTCTATATTCTATTAGATTATCCTGTGTGTTTTGGACCTGACATTTCTCATAAGCCTCCTTTTTCCTTTTTATTTTAATCCCAATTTCCTTAGTCATCCAGGGAGGTCTGACTGTCCTACCTTTCCCCTTTGTGGGAATGTATTTGTTCTGTCTCCAAACTATCTCCTCCTTGAAGGCTTCCTATTGTTCGTTTGCTATCTTACCTGCCAACCTTTCCTTCCAATCTACCTTGGCCAGGTCACTTTTTAGCTCACTGAAATTAGCCCGATTCCAGTTGAGGGTCTTTACCTTTGATTGATTGTTGTCCTTTTCCATAACTATTCTAAACTTAATGATATTGTGATCACTGTTATCCATGCTCTCCTACTGAAACCTACTCCAAAACAATGCAAGTAAAACTTCTGGATCATTCGGTAAATGTCAATGTCACTTCCTGTGCTGTCCGTATATCACACACAGGAAGTGACATTGTTGGATAACAGAGTATAACTCAAGCCGATACCGCTTACCCTCATCAGGGCTGAGATTCCAGGGTGTGGGGAATGGGTAACATTTTGCACAGAAAATATTTAATGGCAAAAACAAAGTGTGTTTTATCTGTTGTTGATCATTATCAACAGTTAAAAATCCCCCAAATCGAAAAAATATCGGCGACAAACTTACCAGACAGAGAACCTCCAGGTTACGGTTATATACAAACAATGTCAGGGATTGACAATAATTGGTCAACAGAAGCTAAGGATCAAAGCAGGAGAGCAGCTCATCCACAATATATGAAGCGTGAAGTCAAAGTCAACTGGTAAGAAGACGGGAGAGGACATCTAATAGGAGTGGAGTCAAACCTGAAAAGAAGAGAAATTGTTAGTTTTGTGGGATTGTGGAAACTGACTCTTACAGTGATTATCTAATGAAGCCGATTGAACTGTGAGGTTATTCTGCTCCAGTCCCCAGATGTAGCAAAGGCTCTAGTCGCTAAATGCAGTGAATTGAATGATGGGCACAGAGCAATTCTGCTGTTTGTTTGGAGAATTTGTTATGACGTTCTTATGAATAACTAATGATATTTTACAATCACAAGTATCAGGGTATAAATATTAAATTGTATTTCCAATGTAAGATGTGAGCACGGTTATCTATCAATTTGATAAATTTAGCAAACACAACAGAATCACCCAGCCCACATTGTTCACTACATTTAGTGAAAGGAGGAGTACTACATAATACAGAGCCTCATATCCACATGCCAGATACTGCTTACCCTCATTAGGGCTGAGATTCCAGGGTGTGGGGAACGGGTAACATTTTGCACAGAAAATATTTAATCATGGGAATGTGCGACTCATAACCAGCACCCTGACATCTCCCAAGCGTGAGTTTAAAATGGCAATGGGAGCTAGGAATTTGATCATTCAAGCACAACTCCGCAGGGTTACAAATTCAAATGGACAGGTAGAGATGGAGAGGAAAAGGAAGAGGGAGAAGGAGACAAAGAGAGTGAATGAAAAGAAACGGGGGAGTCAGAGAGTGGACACGTCAGAGAAATAGACAGAGGAGTTGAATTGGCACTGTGGAGAGGGGGAGAGGGAGGAGGAAGAGAAAAGAGCTGCTGGCACTGTAAAAGAGACCTAGGAGTTAGACAGAAGGCGTTACTCTGCATCATAGTAACAACAGGACTCCTGATGGAGATCACTTCACATTTGTGTTTGGCATCTGAAACGTGCACTAACCACAAGGGAGCTAGACCCAGTCAGTGTAGATATCAGGCTCTCTACTGAACGAGCATGTAATGATCTATTCAACTAGTTCAGAAATCACACCTTGTGGACTTAACATCCAATCTAGGTGGAACACTGAACAGTCACTGAACAGGCTGTGAGGAAATTTAGGCATTTAATTGTAAATGATCTTTCATTAGAATCAATTTGAAAAGCAGCTAACTTCTCTTGATTTCTAGCAAATATATTTTTTATGTAGATCACTGGATACCAAGGGTGAATTTACTGTAGAACACTGTACCACGAACATTGAATATGCTATGCAATTGGTTCCCAAACTCAGCTCCATTAACGTGGGTAGCTGCGTGGGGAGACGAGAGTGCCATTCACAGTGTGCGCTTGTTCTTGCTCACCTTCCTGTGCCTTGTTCACACCCACTTTGGAAGAAGCCTGACAACAGGTCACACACATGACCTCTTGGTCACACTCAGTATGTATTTGGGGAAAATATAGGGGACCAACCAACTACAGGTAAAACTTCCAGAAGTTAAACCTGAAATGTGTTCCCAACCTCTAGGAAATCCCGGCTCGTCCTGCAGTTTTGCAGCATTCATGCTCTTATCATAATTATTCTTGCATTTGATATAGAGCTTTATCATGTCGTCGAAAAGTCTCAAAGCACTTCACAGGATATACTGTAAAGTGTTTTTTACAGTATATTCCGTGAAGCGCCTTGAGACGTCTCAAAGACATGATAGGCATTATATCAAATGCAAGGATTATTATTATTAATATTATAAATTCTTTAACGTTCCCAGGACACTATTTGGAAAGAGTAGGAAGTTTACCCGGCATCCTGGCTATGAATCCTCCAGGTTAATTGTACATTCCTCTCATGAGAGTTTGTGCAAAATGGTTGCCTCGTTCGCCTACAAAATCAGTCACTACATTTGACAGTAATTATGCAATGCTTTGAGACATTTCAATACGACAGAGCATTATGAAAATGCAAACTCTTTCTTTCATGAGAGAATTATTTATCTACAGCTGTAAGGAGCTCCAGCTCTAATTGGAATTCCTTGTCAGACATGCTTTGCATGTGCAATATAGGCACAGCACCTTTGATTCGTTGAGTATTACACTACTTTCCTCTCGCTTTTACCATGATTATACTAATCGTCTTTGTCTGACAGACAAGGAGGAGGTAATGGACAATATATCTCAGTCTAAGTCATCATGCCCTTCTCTCTTTTTATGTGTTTTCCATTGATTTGCAGTTTATTGGTATTCATTTCCTCTTCTGCTGTGCTTGGCTGCAAGTCCTGCCTGCCGAATATTAATAATGATATCTGAGATAACTGACATACGCTGTTAATAAGTCTGTACTGAAAACATGAAGACATCATCCTCAACCTCCACTGGAAGCAGCCCATACTTCTGCTGAAGAACAAACAACTGGCTAAGCGGTCCCTATTATGCTCTGTATTGCACATTCACACCATTGTGAGCAGTTGGATGGGTAAAATTCGAATAACCAGCTATGATATGCCATGTGTGCATTATTTGGAGGTTCGGGAGTACATCAGAACCAGTGAACATGGCATGACTGCATTTGACATTGTGCCACATAGAGAAGTGTCAGATTTTATAAACTGAGGTTAGTGAAGAACTGAGGGAATATAAATTAGGAAGAACAAGACTAAACAATGTATGCCAAATAAAAATTGTTGTAAATAACATATACACTATAAAGACTATACAATATACGCTATAAAGAATCCCAAACCAGATGGATAAAGCTTTCCTTAACTATCCCCAGTAATAATTAAAATCTGCGTTGGAATCGATTTTTTTCAAAACAAGTTCACAAAAACAGACATTTAAGAATTTACCAAATCCTGCATGTCCTAAAATGTGAAATAAATAATGTACGTTTGGACCCAGGTAGAATTTCTCTCCCCACCCACCATGTCCACAGAACCATACCTATTTTGCCTTAAAAATACAGTCACTACATTTTAAAATAAACTCTGTGAAATTACCGATCAGATCGATTTCAAGATCCTCTCACTCGTTTTCAAATCCCTTCATGCCCTAGCACCTCCCTACCTGTCCAACCTGTTTACCCCCCCACTCCACCACCCGCTGCCTCTGGGCTCCTGTTCATCCCTCGTCCCCTCCACTCCTCCACTATCAGTGGCTGTGCTTTCAATCACTACGCCACAAAACTCTGGAACTCTCCCTCAATCCCTGTGTCTTGTTCCCTCCCTCCCCACCTTCAAATTCTGCCTAAAGACCGTCCTTTGTGATCGTGCTTACAGTCACCTCACCCTTCCCTCTCCCCCTGGATCGTTGTCAAACTCCAGCACTGTCAAGCGCTCCGTGTGAAGGGCACTATATAAATGCTGTTGTTGAAATGCTTCAAGATGTCATCCCAGCATGAAAAGCATTATACCAAATGCTAACTTCATTTAAGGATTTCATAATTACTCCAGCCATGCCCTCAGGAGAGGAGTGAAGAAACTGGGAGAACTCCGACCACTGTGTATATGATACATTCTCTTATACAATTATTGTATGCGCCACCAGCTGAGATTGCCTTCTAACATAAAGTGATCTCAACCTCGGTTTAGCATCGAATGACTGGAAGCATTCAACAACGAGCAATTGGTTTGCACCTCAACCACCTTTTGCTGTTGTCCTGAATACAAAGCACAGTGTGACAGGGGTAACTGAAACTATCTCGAGCAGGAGGTTTCTGCCTCAGACAGATACTCCCTCTATCAGTTGAAATACTAAAGGTTCAACTTGGTCTCAGACCAAGCAAATTATAACTGTTATTACAATGCATCACGTATCTTCAAAGTAAAGGCACAATGCAACAGAATTTACATTTGTATAGCACCTTTCACATCGGGAGGATGGCTCAAAACACTTCATGCAGCTGGCTGACTGCTGGTTGTCTCCTCTCTCCTCTCCAAATGACATTAACACAAAGCCCTGTTGTAACAAAGGATAATGCTCCAGCTTTAGCTGAAACTAGAAATTATTTTATGCATGAGAATGATCAGGGAAGCACAGTGCATCACTGCATTTAATTTTAATATGAAAATATTCAATATTTTTGGGGGACAAAACAGCCAGGTGGCAAACACATGTGGAAACATATCACCCTGCTTAAGAGTGTCCAAACCAAATTGACTGTTCCACCTATGAATGCCACCTACACATAGGAATGTCCTTGCATCTGGAATGAAATGCGCACTATCTCCCAGATCTAAATTCCTTGATTCTCTAGGGCAACTGGTGAAAAACAATTAAATCTGTTTCTAATATTGGACTCAAAGGCAACTATCTCACTCAACAAGCCACACTGACATATCACATAGGATTAAGCCATTATCCATAATCCAAGGTCAGGTTTTAAAAGTTCCACTTAGCTTCTGTCCTTTCCACCCTTAATAGAACCTCCTATTAATAATAATAGTCCTTGCATTTGATGTAGCGCCTTATCACATCATCGAGATATCTCAAAGCGCTTCACAGAACAATTGTTCCAACTACAAAATATATTTTTTGACATTGCAACTAACTTTAAGATTACTAATGACCCCTGCAGTCTTGCACATTCCAGGCAAGTGTTGGGGAGCATTGTATTATCAGAGGTGTTGGCTTTCAGATGAGACATTTAACTAAGGTCCAGATTTCCCATTCAATAGGATGATAAAGATCTCTGTTTGAAAAGAAAAGAAAACTTCTTCCAACATTTCCCCCAGTTAAAATTGGCCTTCACCTCATGGGTGTTTGTAGGGTCTTGCTGGCACAAATATGACTGTTGTGTTTGTGTATAAAAATAATCACTACAGTTGATAGTAATTACATATGAAGCACTTTGAAACATTGTGATATGATGAAATGCAAGTTCTTTCTTACTTTATCACAATAACTTTATCATATGTGATGAAAAATATGAGGAATAATATGATAATTATTCTTGATGGTAATTATCACAGTGTCAAAAATTGCAATCAAACCAATTGAAAACTAAAGACTAGATGGGGGTGTAAACCCTCAATGGTAGAGTGGAGGAAATTGTCTAATTTGTACTGAATAGTGGCATTTCAATG